GAGGCACCCCCCGCCCCGCTCCGGTTCGGCTGGGGATTAACCTAGTGTCTCTTCCCCCGCCCACCTCTCTGCTGCTGGTTAATTTCCCGTCCTCTGTCTCTGCTGGTTCGTTTCAACCCCGCCCTTTGATCTCCATTGTCTGCCGCCAGGGGGGAGAGATGCGGTGAAAGGGGCCATTTTCCTCCCCTAACTGCTGGGGATTGGGGGGGGGGGTATCAACCCCTCCCTCCGGATCTTGTGTTAGCTAGCGGCAAAATCACCCCCCCCCCAATTTCTCTTCCGTTACTCCGTGAAAGGGGGTATTGTTCTCCAGTGTTGGGGGCTTTGCCTTATATAGGCAAGGATCTCTCTCCCCCTCCGAAAATTTCACACTTGCTCTCTGGGGTCACCCTACCCAGTGTGTAATGGGTTTAAGCACCAGGGTGGGGGGCCATGTCTAGAGGCGAACCCCCTGCTTGCTAGATCCGGAGTGAGGCCTTTCTCCTCTCCTCGATCCCCTGGCAAACCTTCAATTACAGTGTTGCCGTTGGGGTGAAAAAAGTGACCGTAAAATGTTGCAATGGGGGGGAGAGAAAAAAATCTTGTTTCAGTTGCAAATAAAGAATGTTACTTCTGGCGCCAAACCGCCCCTCCCCCTCCTCCTTTTCCCTCCCCACCCACCATCTTCCCCACCTCTTTGTCTGCCGGGCCCCACATGGCTGCCTGCAAGGCTGGCTTGATTCCTCCACCTCCTAGAGCTCTCCGCGATCCGTGCCCAGCCCGATCCCTTCCCATCCGTCCCGCAACGCCCCGCCACTCCGGAGTCAAATCGGATCTGCAGTTTAAGCTGAGACACACACCACATCCTTTGTGCCTGTAATGGCCGCCTTTGCACAGCGGGGGGGGGGGGTTTTCCAGGCGGCTGCTGGCGCTAGACACTGAGGGACTTTTTGTGCCTAAAGAAGGGCCTGTTTGCAGTTGGATGGCTGCAAAATGCCCCCCCCCCGCCCCCCAGCAGTTGGCTGGATCAGGCGCTGGGTTTCTCCACCTGGTGGGGTGGATGGGTGGACAAAGAGACTTTATTTTAGCCCGTGCAGAGCCAGGAGCATCCCTGCTAAATGGACCCATCGGGGTTTATTGCTTCGGTGGAAGCATCTGGGTTGCTTGAGAGGCCCTGAATTTTTTTTTTTACTGTAGGGATATTTCCCCTCCTGCATCACATGCCTCATCCTGGGCCCCACCCAGCCTCACCTCTGCCTGACCAGGTTTGCCAGGCTTTATTCTGCGCTCGGCGTGGCTGGCAAATGGGTGCTGGCCCCACAGCCAGGCGATATATCGCAGGGGTGCTCTGTGGGGGGGCGCCGATCTGCCTAGATCCCGTATATGGAGATCCAACCCCCCACCCCCCTCGCTCATGCTTTAAAACTGGCGTCTCTGTCGTGCCAGGGTGGGTGGGTGAGGCTCTAATGAGACCCAGCCCAGCAAATTCTTGCAGTGAGACCCAGAGGTGGCTGCTCTGTGAGAAGATCGGACCCCCAACGTAATGGGTTTGTATCGCAGCAGCTGTGTCAGTGGTTCTGAAGCGAGGAGGCCGGGCGCTGGGCCGTGCCGGGGATGTTTGGGGAAATGTAAAGCAGATTTTTCTGCCCCTCCCAAAGAGCCTTCCTGGCGTCTGTTCGAGCCATTCAGTTTCTCCATCTGGAATCACTCTGCGTTTGCACTAGGGTCCCTGAGATCAGAATCCAGCCCTGAATCCGCTGACTCGGGGTCTGGCTACACTGCGTATTAAACCTGGGCTCTGACAGGGCCCAAGCCCCCCCTGCCGTCCACACGCAAATCAGTCTGACCCGGGTCAGCCAGCACTCAGAACCTAGGACCCTGCTAGGGGGCGGCTCAGAGCCCCGGTCCAGCTGCGGCTCTGGTCCAAGTCATGTCTTTCTGCCGTGTGGACACGGTCCAAGTCACAGCCCCGAGTCCGGTCTCCTGTTAGCAGGGCTGTGAGCCCCCAGCCATGGTAAGCCCAGGTTTACCATGCAGTGAGGATGCTGAAGCATGACCGAGTCCACAAGCCTGGGCTCCCGCAGCCCCAGGTTTACAATGCAGTGTAGACGCAACCTCACTGACCCTGGTTGTAAATCCAGATCCACTCCAGGTTGACACCAGAGTTGCTGAGATCAGTGCAGTTGGGCTGCCACTTTCCTCACTGATCCATGCTGGGACTGGGGGGTGGATTTCCTGATGCAGTGACCCATGGTGCCAAAAATGCCTGGGATGTTGAAGGGGTCAGCTTGGCGGCCCTTGTGTTGTGGGTGGGGCGGAGCTCTGGTGGTGGGGGCTGGGGTGGAAAACAGATGTTGTCTGTGACAGATGCTCTGACACACTGCTTTGTCCCAAGCAGGCTTGGAGGTGGGGGTAGGCTCGACTGGGGACAGAAGTCAGTGACTTC